CTTGGCTTAATGCATCAAATCAAAACCAGTTTAACTTGCCTAACTACTCATCAGAATTTAATTCTAGAATAGATAAAAGAGGGGGTGGTGTCTGTATAAATGTTCATAACTCCTTGCGGTATATTACACGCAATGACCTTAGGGTTGATAATCTAGAGTGTGAATCAGTAGCTATTGAATTAATCATTCAAAACTCAAAAAATATCATTATTACTGTCATATATAAGCCACCTGGTGTTGATGTGTTACAATTTAATAGTTACTTAGGTGATTATATGAATAAAATAGCAGATGAGGGTAAATTATCTTACATCATGGGTGACTTCAACATTGATTTACTTTGGTTAAACCTCATGAACCCACACATGATTTTCTGAACCAGTTTTATTCATTTAATCATGCCCCACTAATATGTAAGAATAACTGACAAGACGGCAACTCTTATAGATAATATATTTACTAATGTCCCTAATATTGATGGAAGTGGTATCATCATGGAGGACATTTCTGATCACTTTCCAATTTATTCTACTTCACATTATGATACTACCAAATCTAAAAAAACATTGAGCAGTTATCGTAATTTCAATGACTCTAATAAGTAATTATTTCTTGAGAAACACTCAAATGTCGACTGGACCCCTAGCTATAAAAGTCAAGATGTAAACATAGCATTGAATATCTTCATTAACTTGTAAATGGAACAATATGATTCTTCATTTCCACTCAAATCCAAATTTATCAAGGTTAATCATGATCCTAATAGACCCTGGTTGACTTCTATACACCAAATATTTTTAAAATACCTGTTGCAAAACAGGAAAAGCGTACAAGTCCTTCAACCATAAACTTAAGCACATAAAATACTCAAAACGTACATATTATCAAAATAAGTTTGCCGAAGTAAGTGGTAACATTGAAAGTCTTGGTCTATCATTAATGAACTACTTGGAAAAAACAAAAGAGCTGCATTGCCATCTAAATTCACTATAAAGTGAAAGGAAACAATATATCATGACAGTCATTTCTAATGGATTTAATAATTTTTTACCAATATTAGTAAAAATCTAGCCAAGGAGATTCCAAAATCCAAAAAATGCTTTAATGAATACCTAGAAAGAGTTCAAAAAGTTCAATCATCTATTTATCTCAAAAGACCTCAAAAACTGAGCTTGAATTAGAAATGTGTCTTCTAAAATCTTCCTCACCTTGACCTGATGGGATTCTACCATCACTTATTAAGTTTGCAAGACAGTTTTTAATTGATCCACTCTTGTATATATTTAACTTATCTTTTAAATCTGGTATTTTCCCAGACGCCCTCAAATTGGCCAAAGTAACACCTGTATTTAACACCTGTATTTAGAACGTTTTGAAATTATTTTCACTTATCAATTTGGATTTCAGAAATTCAATTCTACCTACACAGTACATGGCCATTTTATATTTCATTGAACAAATTCGATAATCAACTGATTTGGGAAAAACAAGCATTGGCATAAGATTAGATTTTTCCAAGCCTTTGACACAATTAATCATGACATTTTGATACATAAATTTGAATATTATGGCATCAGAGGAATAGCTTAGTCCTGATTTGGAAGTTATTTAAAATACCGCAAAAATATGTCACCATTAACAATAATGAATCTTAAAATCTTCTCTAGATTGTGGTGTTCCGCAGGGCTCAGTACTTGGACCACTATTGTGTATTCTTTACATAAATGATCTGCCAATTGTTGCCCCTAATATAAAATTTATTATATTTGCTGATGACACCAATCTTCTTGATAGTGATTATAATTTAAATGAACTAATGACTAGAACTAATGCAAACTTGAATTCAATAGATGACTGGATAAAAGCAAACAAACTTTCCCTTAATATTGGCAAAACCAATGCTATTCTATTTGGACCCAAAATAAATCAAACAAATCTGAATTTTAAAATACGTAATGAGAACATAAATGTCCGGGAAATTGACTTTTTCGGAATTATTATTGATAAAAACCTGAAATACAAAGAGCACATAAAATCTGTTGAAACAAAGATTTCTCGCGTTATTGGTTCTCTTTATCACATTAAATATCTACTTCAAATAGACAGTTTCAAAACAATTTACTACTCATTGATACACTCTCAATAAAAGTATTGCAACATAATCTGGGGTAACACATTTAAATCATTTTATGATCGTCTACATAAACTGCAGAAACAATTCTTAAGGCTAGCTTTAAATTAGGATAGACTTTCTCACTCCACTCCCCTATTTAAAGTTCTTAAAATATTAAATATTTTTGATGTCAACAGATATTGTTCTGGTCAGTTCATGTACAAAATCTTAATAAGCACCTCAGTCTTCCAAAAAATCTATTTCAAGACTTGTTTGATATCAACGTTACATCAATGTTCATCATCATTACACAAGACAGTTGCATTATTTTCATATCCCTAAATGCTCTAAATTTTCCCTTCGCTATCTAGGTCCTAATCTTTGGAATGCACTACCACATGATATTAAAAATGCTCCACTCTAAATATTTTCAAATCTTCATATAAAAAACTACTCATCTATCGATAATGTATAATACCAATATCATACTGTATTGCTAATTTTATACTGGTACCTGATTTTTGTAACATATCTACATTGTTTGTACATCCTTAAATTAATTTTTAATACCATTTTTATATACCTACATGTAACATAATATAAGTGCTTTCTTTTATATGTAGTCTAGGCCTAGATGTCATTTTAATAATTTCTGTCTAGCGGCTTGTTTTTGTAGTGTATACAGTATCATATAAGAATTATGAAATAAATAAAATTGAATTGAATATATAAAACAGTCAATAATCATACCAACAATATAGATGTATTTCTTATTTACTTTTTTATTTCAATATTGGACTGCATGCCTAAGTAACTATTATACACTGTTGCTCATAAATATGGAATATTTTATAGATATTAATTGATTGGTATAACTCTTACAAATGATGATAATTTGTTGAAAAATGATTATTGCACCCCGATTTCCTCTTCATATTTGCACATAAACCTGATTGTTATTAAAAGTAGCTCGTGGAGGTGGTTCTGTTCATATTTGAGGTGGTGTTCACCAAGGAGAGTCGCACCCCTTTGGTGAGTCTGAACTGTAATGTCAGCGGTGAGAACTACGGTGGCCTTTTGGACCTAGATCTATTACCACATGCAAACAGAGTGTTTGGGCATAAATTTCAACTGCAGCATGATGAAGCTCATGCGCATGATAGCTGCATTATGCAGATTTCCCCAGGGCAGGCAATGTGGAGCAGCTACCATAGGCACCAAAGTCACCTGATCAGGCTCCTGCAGAGCACATGTGGGATGAGATTGATAGCGCAATTCGTGACACAGATCCCCTATCTCAAAATTTAGCAGAGTTATATACTGCTTTGATTGAGTAGTTGCACCTTATTTCGCGTAGACAGGTCAGACATCTCATTGCAACAGGCCCTGCGGGATGGATGCTCTGATTGCAGCACTAGGAAGACATACCGTATATAAGTGCTGTTATGGGATAGGGGACTTATTCATCTTCATGACCTGGTGTTTAGTTTGTTTGGTCCGCTTTACATTAAAATTTGGATCGGAGTGTTTTGAAAATGCAAATTTTTTATTAAAAATTTTAAACGACAGCAAAGTTTTAAACTTAAATGTAAATATTTTTCCCCAAAAATTGTTGATTTGTAAATTAAATGTGTTTTAAAACGATGTTTAGATCCAATCTAAGCTCAATAAATTTCATCGGAAATTTCCGCAACACATGTGGAATATTCAGAAAATAAAAACTCAGGCAAAACTGATAAATGTTGTTCGACTCCGCAATAATGCGATATCATCATTCATATCCGTGTCTAGAATTCATTTTAATAATATCAAGATTAAAATAAAAACATATCTTCAAAATTAAAAAGCATATGGTGAAATATTCATGTATTTGTTTGTGCAATTAGAGTGAGACATTTCTTTTTTGGAAAAAATATTGAAACGTTATCCTTATATGAGATATTTACCTTTTCTATAAACGATATTGAGGTGGTAAAATCCTTTGAACTCAAATTATATTGATCTTTTTGAAATGTTAGTTCAAAGAAGCTGTCACATTAGTCGTGTGGGCTCACAGTTCACCACCGTGTGGCTAATTTTTGGCAATATTTTTCAATTAATTAATTCATTTTTGCATTTGGTGTGATGTCGAAGGGTGTGCCCATACGGCTTAAGTGACAGCTCCATAGGCACGATGAACTGTTATTTGAAACAGTTCAACATAAAAATAAGAATTTCCAGGAGGTAGATATGAAATGTTTGGTTTTAAATTATCCAATTTGCAGGGAAACCTGAATTGCATGGTAAGTAATTTAACATTTGTTCTACTTCGCCACCTATTTAAATGCATTCGCCACCTATTTAAATGCATTCGCCACCTATTTAAATGCATTCGCCACCTCATTTAAATGCATTCGCCACCTATTTAAATGCATTGTTGCATTTTGAAATTGAGAGTAGATATGTGAGTAATATGTAGTAAGTGCGTTTAAAGTAAACAATTAAGTATCTTGTTTTGAAAAGTATTCCTACAGCTTTTAACATTTTGAGAATATATTTAATTTGTATATGTTCCTTCCATTTTCAATTTTTGTCAATTAGTACACTAAGAACGTTTATTGAAAGGTCTCGGTTGATTGTTGAATTTCGTATTGATGGAAATATAAAAAGTAATTTGCAGTTCTTTAATAACTTTAAACTCACGAGCTAAAAATGAAATAAATGTCAAACTATATGTCCAATTAATGATTATGAAATATAAATGTATTTTATTTAATATCCACACTTGTCCCTTATCTTCAAATTTTATCACAAACACGTAAGCTAAATTATTAATATCAAAATGCCAAAAGCATTATCCATAGCAAAATGTATTGGTTGGATGAAATGATATGGGTATATAAGGTGACGTTTTTGCATGCAAGGATCGGAGACGTGTCAATACCCGAATTGACTCTCTACCTGACGCGAGCAAAATCTACAGTCGAAGATGAATCTTCTTCAAAGAAGAATCGGAGGTAAGTAAAATTTCTTTTGTTATATGCCATTGCAAAATGAACTCAAAACTATTATAAGGGGATTTTGAATTACATTCGGATGAACTGTAAGTTGTCGCTCCTTTTTTGTGACTGAAATTCCCCATTTCCCAGCTTATTACCCTATTTCCTGATTTTGAGAGAATATGTTTCTAGAAACAATTAAAGGTCGAGTGCGGTAAATAAGAAGGAGGCGTCAAATTGCTACAGATTCAAAATCACCAAAAAGTCGAGTGACATTCTACATAACCTCCAAGCTTGGTGAAAATTGACTAATGTAGAATATAACTATTTTCCCCCCGAGTGTTATTGTACAGGGTGGGCCAATAAAAAAATTGGAACATTTTTCTATTTATTCAATTTTCTTTATTATTGCAGTTAAGCCGACAAAAATTCAGATAATGGTAAAATGATTATTTGTGAAAATGTTTAAGATAAAAATATGTATGTTTGATTATTTTTGGCTTGTCATGGTCATGATCTGTATACTGCGTGCGTCATGAAAAATTTCCAAATTTTCTCTGCTTGAGACATCATTTCTGAAAATACAGTATCTCATACCATACAATATATGCCCTTCAAATGGTCTCAACACAATGTCCATCAATTAAAACATATGTAGTTATCTCTATGAGAAGCTAGGCATGTCTCCCTTGTATAATATAGCTTAACTGACCTCAGGTTTTTTCAAAACTGGCACAATATGTCTCAAACCTATCATTTAAGCCATGTATGACTGTCAAATACAGCTCAGACTGATTGTTCATGTGGGTGGGGGACATGTACAGTAATTAAATGTTGAGCTTGTATTTTCCTATTTACACAAGCTGTTGACAATGAATTGTTTTTAAATTTCCTAAAGTATTGAAGATAATACACGACAAAGAAAAAAGTAACAATCAACAGAAATGTCCAGTTTTTTACTCAACGCAAGGGTTTCCGGAACATGTCCTCCGCCCATCTGGACAATCAGTCTGGGCTGTATTTGACAGTCATACATGGCTTAAATGACAGGTTTTGAGACATATTGTGCCAGTTTTGAAAAAAACTGAGGTCAGTTAAGCTATATTATACAAGGGAGACTTTCCTAGCTTCTCATAGAGATAACTACATATGTTTTAATTAATGGAAATTATGTTGAGACCGTTTGAAGGGTACATATTGTGTAGTATGAGCAGTGATGTCTCAAGCGGAGAAAATTTGGAAAATTTTCGTGACGCACGCAGTATACAAAACATGACGATGACAAGACAAACATAATCATACTTAGTTAATATTTTTTATCTTTAACATTTTCACAAATAATCATTTTACCATTATCTGAATTTATGGATTGAACTGTAAAAATAAAGACAATTGAATGAATAGAAAAATGTTCCAACTTTTATTGGCCCATCCTGTAAGGCTGAATGTGTCGAGAATAAGCATCATGGCATTTTGGACTCCTTTATGAATTATTATTAGAAGGGCTTACGTTCTCATTTGAATGTCTAACAGAAAGAGATAGGCTACTCAGACAAATTAAATTTATATATACTTGAAAATAAAATATTTATATAAAGGAGCGCGTAGGTTATTGCAAACAATTTAAACCGATTGTATCTTGGATAATGAATTTTCTGATCATGAACACGGGTGCACATTTTAGACTCATTCATTTTCAGTAAGAAAAGTATATTAATAATGATAATTAAGTTAACAAGTGATATTAAAGAGGCAATGGACAAATTAACATATTTTTGAAATGTTGTATTCTATCATAATGTTGAATGCATTATAAGAAAGTGTATCGAGACATGTTTTATTTCCAAAAAGAAAAACTGAATTGTTATATAAACTGAATTTATGTCACGTTGCTGTCATGTGATACTATGACGTTACCCAATTAGAAAGAACAACATGTAACTATGCGGTTGGTGGCTCAATTTGCTTGTATTAATTTTTCACAAATAATAAATTACATGTATACATATATTTTACAACATACATGTGTATAGTCAAATACAAAAACAATATTATGTAATATTATATAATATCAACTTTAGGCTTGTTAGGGTTAACTGAAATTGTTGATGTTGAGTTCTTTTTAAAGGTAAAATGCATAGAACCCTCGACTTTTGAAAATCTTGAAAGTAAATGAGCGAAATCGAAGTACTCATCTGAAATGATCATTTTAAGAATCTTTTTATCAACGCCAGAGCGTAATGGAATTCCTGATTTGATATGAATTAGGTCTTGTGGCTCGTTTTGACTTGCAGATAAGGACTCACCTTTATTTAGGAGCGCCTCGAGCGTACTCTGCATAGTTGGGTTTTGCTCCCCATCGTCAGATAAATCATCATCTGAATCAGCATTGTTCTCAAATAGAGACCCATCTTCCGCACTTGTACCAGGTAACTGGTCTTGGTCTATTTGTTGTTGTTGTTGTTGCTGTTGCTGCTGCTGTTGAAAAACGTCTTTTAATTGGTCAACAACCGCGTTGACAATATCAGCTTTATCCTCCTCATTTAACGATTTTCTTTTTCTCACATCTGAATCTGTTTCACTTTCAGGGTTTTTCCTTTTCTTCCCCGCTGCCCCGGCGCTTTTTCTCTTGTCCTTTGCCTTGGGCATGGCCTTCCTGGAAGTAAATATAGGTGTAACCCAACAAAATTTGACCGAATAAATTAGAGACAAAAATATAGTCACGAATATGTTTCATTCATAAGAGGTATCTATTGAAATATTTTTAAAATAAGCCATTAAAATGGCAACATGACAATAACAGCCAGAATAGAGTGCAATGGCAACGTGTCATTATTCTGTTTTATAAATACTCAAGAACGTATTTTCTGAAAACAGAATACAGTAATTGCAAATTAGAAAGTATTTTAAATTAAGCCAATAAAATTGGCAACATGACAATAACGGCCCAAATAGAGTGCAATGGCAACGTGTCATGAATCTGTTTCATAAATAATCATAAAACGTATTTTATGAAAACAGAATACAGTAATTGCAAAATAAAAATTATTTTAAACAAGCCAATAAAATGGCAACATGACAAATACGGCCAGAATAGAGTGCAATGGCAACGTGTCATGAATCTGTTTCATAAATACATAAAACGTATTTACTGAAAACAGAATACAGTAATTGCAAATTACAAAGTATTTCAAATTAAGCCAATAAAATGGCAACATGACAATTACGGCCAGAATAGAGTGCAATGGCAACGTGTCATGAATCTGTTTCATAAATACTCATAAAACGTATTTACTGAAAACAGAATACAGTAATTGCAAATTACAAAGTATTTCAAATTAAGCCAATAAAATGGCAACATGACAATTACGGCCAGAATAGAGTGCAATGGCAACGTGTCATGAATCTGTTTCATAAATAATCATAAAACGTATTTTATGAAAACAGAATACAGTAATTGCAAAATAAAAATTATTTTAAACAAGCCAATAAAATGGCAACATGACAAATACGGCCAGAATAGAGTGCAATGGCAACGTGTCATGAATCTGTTTCATAAATACATAAAACGTATTTACTGAAAACAGAATTAAGTAATTGCAAATTACAAAATATTTTTAAATCAACCAAAATTAGGGAAAACGCCAGTATGACCATAATAAGTGCGATGGCAACGTGTCATGAATCCGTTTCATAAATACGCATACAACGTATTTATGGTACAATAATCAAGTAACAAACATATTGGCAAATATAACAATTGGCCAAAAAGGTTACTGTGAAATGAAGAGGTAATATAACTGCAAAACGTTTACCATTTCTCAAATATCACATTGAACCCTTACAAGAGTTAAATGGCAAAATATGTTAAATCTGATTAATATATTAATTAATACATAAACATAATTATGATTTCAAGCTGTTAAAAACTTTCAAAATGGCATTAGTATAAAATTGAAAAATTATATCGAAATACATCTTTTGCAACCTACAGAACAAAATAATATTTACATACCGCGTAAGAATGATCTCTTGCGAACACTACTTTTCTGCGAATATTAATTGTTTGCAAAGCAAACATTGCCACTGTGAGACAAATGTATCCCGTCTCTGTAATATTTCGCCTCGGCATCAACTTTAAACCCTTTATTGGGCATAATGTATATGTTATTGCTCGAAGACGCTTTTTCAGTCAATGTATTATTTACAGCTTCAATCGTGGCATTATAATGCATATAACGAGGCTTCAAACGGCGAAATACATGTCCGATGACAACTGTCTGTACGTCCATGCCGAAAATCAAATAGTTAGCAAAACTAAATATCGCCGTTACAACTTGATCAGAATCTGGAAACTTGACATCAAGGTCATTTCCACCTATTTGAAGAAAAACCATCGTAGGCTTGAAATCATTAACCGCTTCGGTTAAATAAGAAAACAAACTTTTCTCCTGATACTTCTTGTCCATCTTCTCGTTCCATTTAAATTGTCCGCCTCTAATTCCCACATAATTTATTTCAAATTCGCAAGAATTAAGTTCTAAATTGTTCATATGTGCCTTTTGGAAGTCATCTAGCCAATGTATCAAAGAATGGCCGAAAATAAGCAATTTTTCCATCATAAGTTAATAGTTCTGTAGGTTGAAAAGGTTTACTTAAACTATAAAACTCACCGCTGGTTTCACTAGACGTGTGAACAGATTATTTAAGCTCCTTGCTTTGTCCGATACAAATGGTCCAATTGTAATGTATTCCAAATTTTCTGTCCAATATTTTTATATTTTATTATAATATTTTAAATTATAATATTTATGTTACATTTATCATAGAAAACAGTTAATATTGAGAAAACGTATCACTATCAGATATATATATAAATACACGTGTTCTCATCTAATAAGCAGTATGTAAAATGTATCCCTTCAAGGGAGGGCTATCTACAAAGTTGATTATTATAATGAACTAAATCTGTGAATTATTATGATTGGTGGATTGGCTAGATCCGAAGGACCGCCCATTCAAACTACAAAAGAAGATGAAGCAGTGCTATAAATAAGATAATTGTCATTATCGAAACTTAGATGACCAAAATGATCTGAAATCAACACTATAGAATAGAGACATATTGCTTGGTTATACGAAGTTTCTATTTGTAAGAATCTCTTGTAATTTAATGTGCAGTAATGAGCAAAAATACATACTAGCTAGTCGAAGACAATTTTTTAAAATCCCGTTTATGCTATAAAAAGTGGAAAGTGCAGAGGTTCAATGATTCAATCAAGTTGAAGTAATACTGTAATTGTTCAGTTTCAGTTTTAAATGCATCTGCCCGCCCTGCCCGTTAGCTGGATGAAAAATACGGTGTCTACATTAAGGTTAACTGTGAATTGAGATATATTAGTTCAATGGGACAACGTCGAGTTGACAACGTACATTTCTGATTTTTTTAAATCATACCAAATAGATAATATATATCAAATCTTCACTCATCCTAAATTGTTTAGTTTTGAGAATCATATTCTCATTAAAATAATCGACACTCTTAGGCGACAGGGGAAAAATGATCAAAGGATATGTGAAAAACCAATAATTTCCAACCGATCAATTTTTGTGGGTAGATTTACTAAGAAAAAAATCGAGCATTGCACAATATTTTAACATAATCAGGAAGCTTAAAGTATTTCCAAGCGAATACACACGAAATTAAACATGAAATCCTTTATGTATTCCTCAGATTAACTTTTTAAAACCTACAACAAACCTACATCATAGTTTTCGCTTCAAATCAGATATTGTTGACACCGTACATCTGAGGGTACGACGCGACGGTATATTTTGTCAATGTACATCATCGATGATTAGGCGTGTTATATTAATTATTTAATTATTTAGATATTAATACACCATGTCAACATGATTTATGCGTTGTTGTAAAAATCCAATTTGCACATATAATAGCTCCTTCTGCCTCTAAGCAGACAATATGTAAAACAGGTTTGGTTAAATGTCCAGTAGGTCTGGGGTTTTGTTTTTCGAAATATCACCATCTCAACGCTAGTCTATTCAAACCTTTAAACTAGGAACCTGAGAATTTCAGTCATAATTAATTTTTTAATTATAAGGCCCTTTCACTTGCTTGTTCTTGTCATAAAAAGGGTGTGTATTTGTGACAAGAGTTTTTGAAAATCAGGGAATATCTAGGTCAGTCATTATCAAGAATTATCTTTCAGTAGTTCAAAATACGTTATTCTATTATTTGCGATGAACAAGAGAGTTTTAATATCAGGTCTTATAATACACTATCAAGCAAAAAAGCTATTCTAATCGTTATCATTATCAAATAATAAGCTGCATTTCTATCGCTCATAATTTACTTTAAGAGCCACCCTTTTTGTATCTAGGTGTTCCTCTAGGTGCATGGTTCTTCACGATGATCGTTTTGGCGTTTGTATCGAAAATTGAAAGCTTAACCGCTGACGAGAAGGATCAAATGGAGAAAGGCTTGACTGCTGGGAAGGAAATACTTGGGTACATTAAAGATAGAAAATTTACTCAAACTATGACAATATTAGCTGATTCAGCCAGCCAATTTTTGGGTGCATTGGGGCCATTTGTTAGTTTTGTAATGACCTTTGTTTCGGGTGATTCTGCTGAGCTAACCTACATGAAAGAAATGATGAAAGAAATTGATAGACGATTTGGTATGGTCGACTCGAAGCTTGAAGATATCCAAGCATTGATTGAATGGTCAAACTTTGAAAGGAGTCTCCGACAAATCGAACTAAATGTTCAAACGATGGACAGAATATACAAAAACTTTTATGAATTTGAAGGATTGGCTTCAGATAAAAAGCGTGATTTTAGCATTTCATATGAATCATCATATGATCTCAGTGGATCAAAATTATATGAGCTGGCTGTTAAAGAAAGTTCGTTTACCGACAGTCTCAGCGTAGCAATTATGAAAAAAACAAAATACGACCGCAAACAGACAAACGATTATCTTCTTGGGATTCTCAAGATCATCTTGCAAGGTATGCGAATTGAACTTGCCTATTCCGAAATGCAATATGGCGGAACATTTTATAATTCACAGCGAAAAGAATGGGAAAGGAGGATTGTCGTAGTATCTGAAAAATTCAAAGAGATTGATGACACTGTAACAAAAGCGTTCCTCGAGCAGTCAAAAAAGGACACCAAAAAAATTGCTCTTGACAACCGGCCTAATTCCATGGGTAACTTAGATTTTAGCGTCAAGGTGTGTAATAAGTTAAAAGAAAAGTATTACTGGCGAGATTGGTTTTGTGCAGTATGGGATGACGATGTTTCTTCAAACGAATTCAGTTACACATTGTGTGGAGGCTTTTTTCTTCGTTGGGAGTATGGACGCAACATCCTTGTGTCTAGCCGAGACAAAACTGCTCCAAGAATGAACGTAGCCAATGCTAAGGCAGAGTTGAACAAGTTTGAGTTTATACTTTATGTGGGTATTAGGTATGATGGTACAAAGATAATCAAAGATTTCTCGAAAGCCAATCCAATTTTTGACGTAATAAACGTAAATAATGCATGTTGTATCGCTGTTATTAAAAAGCATGCTAATACTTACTGGCATAAGTCAGATTACACTCGACTTGCAACTAAAGACTTGTACTATTCCTGGTGGCTTGTTATATTTGGTTAAACAGTTGAAAAAATTTATGTAACAAAAACTTCAAATAGTTCTTTGAAAAATTATCGGACAAATAATGAGGTCAACAATGACAATATAGATTAAGGATGCTGATCAAATAAAATTATATATTTTTAGTATTTCTGTAGAATCTCCACATAATCATATTTTTGGGCTGCTTCACATTCGGACATTAAATGCTTTTTAACTATTGCAACGGTTTATGCATTTGACCATCGCTGTGTTTTACGGATATGAACATTGCTACGTTTTACGAAAATTAGCATTGCTATGTTTACGGATATGACCCTCGCTACTTTTTACGGATATGACCCTCGCTACGTTTTGCGAATATGATCATTGCTATGTTTACGGATATGACCCTCGCTACGTTTTACGGATATGACCATGGCTATGTTTACGGATATGACCCTCGCTACGTTTTACGGATATGACCATTGCTATGTCTACGGATATGACCATCGCTTCATTTTACGGATATGACCATTGCTACGTTTTACGGATATGACCATGGCTATGTTTACGGATATGACCCTAGCTACATTTACGGATGTGACCATTGCTATGTCTACGGATATGACCATCGCTTCATTTTACGGATATGACCATGGCTATGTTTACAGACATGACCATTGCTATGTTTACTGATATGGCCCTCGCGATGTTTTACAGATATGACCATCGCTATGTTTTACGGAAATATGATTTTGGCTGTACATACGTTTTATCTAATGAGACTCAATCAGCCAATGTTCTAAAATAATGAAAATCTATCCCTGTGATGATATGAAGATATAATCATTTTAAGTCAATGGTGTATATCCCCATGTTAAGTCAATCCTTGCTGAAATCCTCATTTTCTTAGTAGAAAATTGGTTGATTAAGCCTCAATCAGTAGATATATGTTACTGAACATATTTTAAATCAATCATAACTGGTTTGGATAAGGGTTCTTAAACAGAATATTTCACTTGGTTTTGAAAGGTTTGGGTAACTTACTTCTATAATATAGTATAGACATGCTGATCAATCGTATCCAGAACATTACATGTTTAATTGGTAACAGAACAAGAACATTTTTGTAAATGACTCTCCTGATTTAATTACCATTCATTGTAAAAATTGCAGAACTAGGAAAACAAAGAGACACGACTAGTTCTGCTCTGGCTACTATTAAACCATTTTCTATGGTTACTGGGATTAAAATATATGGTATATGGTTTTTATTATATCATTGTCTTATTTAAAATTATATTATTACAATATTCTTGTCTTATTTGATCGGGAAAGGACCTTATACACCCTCCATTGGGATCTCCCCATGGGAAAAAAATAATTCATCTGATTTTTCAAAATGAGTATTCTGCTTCAATTATTACATTTATATGCACACTAGTATCTTGTTGACCTATATTCAGCACTGCATTGATGTATAGGCCACTTATTAGGGTCGTATATAATTCAATCATGAAGTGTAGAGGCATAGATTCCAAACCAGGAAGTATTTTTTGTGTCTGTCAAAATCCATTTACATCCTACGCATCCCTGCATCTTATCCAAATATGTTACTACATAATGAAATATAATAGTATAATCTTTGGTTTTACAAACTTGTATGATATTTGATAAGTGTAAAAGTTGTTTTTGGAGCATTTTTCTATAGCCATTTTGTAGGGAAAAAATGATGAAAAATGTACAATCTTTTAATTTTAAGTATGACCTGAATCGATTGCAAACTTCATATTTGCACATTTGATGAGATAAACCATTTGTGTCGTATTGTGTAATTATTAAGTTTGCAATCGATTCAGGTCATAGTGTATTTTGGTATTTCTGTGATAACCAATGGAAACCAATGGCCTCTATTGGGATCTGCTGATATCCTCATGTTAAGTCAATGGTGCACAGCCCCACGTAAGTCAATACAACCTTACTGAACGAAATGATCCCTATCTCAGCTTATGTGTGTCCGAGCACTTTAATATTTCTAAAGTATTATATTACATTTTATTCTTCATGTTACACCTACGAATGATTCATTTTGACCATAGGGATGTTTGCCAATAATTGCACCTTGTCCTTTCAAACAAATGTTTTTCATTTCAAACAACATATTTTATATTAATGATAATATCGAGTTTACTTTGCTTTAATATTTTTAAGTCCTTTTCAGGTTCTTGATCATGATCTTCTTGAATGAGCCCCTGGCAACGACGAAAAGTCTTAATTGTTTGGAATGTAAACTATAACAGCTGGCTATGAATTAACAATTGGCAATCCAAAAGATTTGAGCTAATATCTTCATAAGACCAAAACTCACGATTCAAATTCTGAAGTGAAAAATGGCGGCTGTTCGATTTTAAAATTTTCAATTTCGACATGACTCCATATACGGCTGACTATCGAGATGAAATGATGGGGGCCAATCCTCCTTCCTAGCAGACGACCTAGGTCAATCAGCATGATTCCAAGGAGGATTGGCAGCCATTATTTAAACTCGATACTTGAAACAATTTAGTAAAATTATTTCTATAACTTTTCTTTGGACCAAGTATTACGCTAAAAGATGTACATTTCGAATATTATGGTAATATTCAAATTTCATCGGCAGTTCAAGTCTTCAAAATATGAGGAATATTAATTGTTACCAAATTGGTCCACGCCGGGCAACGGGGTATCAAGTTTGAATAACAGCTTCCAATCCTCCTTGGCATGATTCATTTCCGGAAACCTGGCAGTAGGGTGGCTCAAAATAATTTTTTTTTGGAAATGTTATGCTCCCTATGTGAATCGAGTTGCATTTTGGGGTAAATATCACCTGTGATTTTTTTCAAAATTTTTAGTCAACTTTTAGGGGTCCCCCACAGCCTTTGAAGTTTGCCCATAGGCTTAACATTAGTGGGCGTCGCCCAAAATTGTACTTTGTAGTAGTTTTCTTCTAGAGTGATTTATATATGCTGTTTGAAGAAAAACAACATTGTATATGATATGATTAGATGTTTAAATCATCATATTACTCTGTTTCATCATGTGAACTTATATAAAAGGTTATACTAACAATATCCTATTAACAAAATATCAGGTACATTCGACCAGTATAATTATTTTAACAAGTAAGGTTTTAGAGAATCATGTCTCATATATGATTTGGTATTGTCATTTTAATGGTTTAAACTGTAAAAGGTATATTCATTCTTGACATTTAATGTTTTTTAAACATGATTTAGATCAGCTTTTCTTATATATGGCACTCTTCCTCTATGATCTGAGCGTACAACACATACATTGTCAAGATGCGCCACGTCACGGGTCATTTGAGAGCATCCCTGTACAAGCTTCACTGGTCGTTCAGCTGGATCATTAAGAGAATGCAGGTCTTGACAGAAATGCTATCGCCAGTACGACCCTGATATAGCAAATGCAGCTCTTCGCAGTGCAAGATGCCATCTATGGTACCTCTGCCCTGAATTAGTTGTTATGTCCCTATTCAACGAATTCACTGTTAGAGAGGAGAAGCAGGATCTTGCTACAGCACTGCTCAGCATCTCACAGCCTGTACAATTTGCAACTGGTAAACCAGGACAGCCTGACTTCAACCCAGTTGCTGCTCACTTAGGCAATGTTAAACCATCACTAGCAATGTTTGTAACTGAGAGATCTAATGGCTCTTATTTCACCTCCTAGAATCAGATCCAATTATATGCCATTGGCTTCAAGAGAATCCCGTTGCATGGCATACATATCCAACGTATGTTCAAACCCAGAATTTCTGTCAAGACCTGCATTCTGATAATGATCCAGCTGAACGGCCAGTGAAGCTTGTACAGGAATGCTCTCAAATGACCCGTGACGTGGCACATCGTGACAATGTATGTGTTGTACGCTCAGAACATAGAGGAAGAGTGCTATATATAAGAAAAGCTGATCTGAATCATGTTTAAAAAACATTAAATGTCAAGAATGAATATACCTTTTACAGTTTAAACCATTATAATGACAATTATACCAAATCATATATGAGAATGATTCTCTAAAACTGTACTTCTTCAAATAATTATACTGATCGAATGTACCTGGTATTTTGTTGATAGGACATCATAAGTATAACCTTTTATGTAAGTTCACATGATGAAACAGAGTAATATGATGATTTAAACATCTAATCATATCATATACAATGTTGTCTTTCTTCAAACAACATAAATAAATCACTAGAAAAAAAGCTTCTACAAAGTACAATTTTGGGCGACGCCCACTAATGTTAAGCCTATGGGCAAACTTCAAAGGCTGTGGGGGACCCCTAAAAGTTGACTAAAAATTTTGAAAAAAATCACAGGTGATATTTACCCCAAAATGCAACTCGATTCACATAGGGAGCATAACATTTCCAAAAAAAAATTATTTTGAGCCACCCTACCTGGCAGACGACTCAAGTGAATATCAGCTGATTAGACGACAAATAAGGAGCGCAATCAAGAAGATAATGAATTTTGTGTATTATTTTTATTTTGTTGCATAAATAAATAATTTGCAAATAGATGAGGTGTTCTTGTTACTAATGCGTAGCTTATGTATTTGTCATATAATAGTTAATACGCTGTTGGTCAAATATATGGAATACTGGGTATTTAACAAAAATCAGTATATTGTCTTTACTTTAAGATTTACCAAAGCTTTAATTGCACAGACATATGCATGAGTGGCTGGTTTTAAATGTTAAGTTAAAAATGTGCTCAAGGAAAGCTTATTAGTCTGAAGAATCTTTAACAGAGGTTTCTCCAATATTTCAATGGATTTTGACGGATTAATCCCTGGGAAATGCGAAATGTTGTTTGCCTCAAATGTATTAACTTTGTTATTCCTAGACGAAAAATATCTGAAAAATCTCCATACATTAAACTTTGAGAAGGCATTGAAAACAGGAAATCAATAGCCAATTTTAAAAATTCTATATTAATGAATAGCAGGGTACATTATTAATACAAGTAGGTAGAAATTACAAATCAAAAAATCAGTTAAAACGTAGTTAAAAGTTAAAAGTAGTAAAAACACACAGTATAAACATTATTGTCAAGGTTCCATGTAATCCTCTGATAATATGACATCAATCTCCTTCCAAGATTTGCCACTGCAAAGAAACCCTTTTTGAACCAAACATATCCTAAGAAGATAATTTCCGCATATATATGAGGTAATTTTACCAAAATCATTTCTAATCGTATAAAGAACACTATCTTTCCTTAATACTAGGATCGATTTAACCCATTTTACTGAAGGATAACGAAGACTTCTCAAATAAAGTCATACTCTTGAATTTGATTTTTCCTCGTCCACGACCCGGATTGTGCAGTGAAGTTGATGACATCATCAAAACATTATTCTATTTACCTAGCTAAGGATGAAAACGCGTGAATGCCCAATTTCACTAATACCCGCCTGTCCTGCTGTTTGTTTTAAAAGCAAATTGGATAAAGGATCTAGTGCACCCGCCATTATGATCTCCCCATGAACAAAATGAATCATTTTTAGGTGTAACATAAAGAATACAATGTCACATAATACTGTGGAAAATATTTAAGCGTTTGGACCCAAATGGGCTGAGGTTGAGGTCATTACCCCCCTATCACACCAAACTAGTTCTTACCCGTTCTTGCCAGTCCTACGAAAACGTCGTAAAACGGGCTCACTCTGGCTGTGGTCGGGAAATATGTCTGAAATAATTAGCTTCTTCGTTCTTAAACAGTCTTCAATACGTCCATCTCGTTCGCAGTTCGTTTAGGTCGCACCACATCGGTGTGCAACGTCGTAGAACGCGTCCCTTAGTCTAGAAGGTCAACATGACCTGATTACAGAACGGTATGGTCGCCATCGAATTTTGAATCGATTCAAAATTCTAAAATCACATTCCCGTCTGAGAACGTTCATAAAGTTCGTAAATAGACCTTAGAAAGTTACAGGTAGGTACGTTCATTCCGTTCGCACACAGTTTAAAACCAGTTTTGAAGAACGCAGTGGCAACTTGTTTGGTGTGATAGCTATATTTTTGCTAACTCGTTCATAAGCAGTGTTAAATACGTTCTTAATCAGTTTTAACCCGTTTGCAATTAGTTCTACCTCGTTCTCAACACGTCCTCAGACAGTTCAACTCGTTGTTTAAACGTCCCTAGTAGGATTGAAGTACGACGATTCCGTTCGTAGTACGTCCAGCTCGTCGTTAGTACGTTGTCACTCGTTCTAATTGTAGAACGTGACGACCACGAGAACATTTTGAGCATTGTCTAAGTTCAAGAGGACCTACCCGTTCGAGTACGTTCGATGAAGTTTGTAAATAGATCCCAAACGGTTCTTAGTAGGTCCAATCCGTTCGTACACAGTTGAAGCCCGTTTTCGAGAACGTAGTGAGAACTAGTTTGGTGTGATAGTAGGGTTAAGTTCAGCAAGGGTGTATTGACTTGCCATTGGATGTGCTCCATTGACTTAACATGTAGATATCATCAGATTCCAATGGAGGCCATTGGTTTCTATTGATTTTAACAAAAATACCTAAAATACACTATGACCTGAATCGATTGCAAATTAAATAATTTCACAATATGACACAAATGGTATATCACATCAGATGTGCAAATATAAAGTTTGCAATCGATTCAGGTCATTCTTCAAATTAAAGGCTTATACATTTTTTTCATCATTTTTTTCCTACAAAATGGCTATAGGAAAATGCTTCAAAAGCAACTTTTACACATATGAAATCCCATACAACTTTGTAAATCCAAAGATTATACTGTTATGTTTCATTAATTAATAACATATTTGGATAAGATGTAGGGATGTGTAGGATGAAAATGGATTTTGACAGACACAAAAACACTTCCTGGTTTGGTATCTCAACCCCTGTACACTTTATGATTGAATATTGGCCCTAATAAGTGGCCCATTCATCAATACAGTGCTGAATATAGGTCAAAAAGATACTAGTGTACATATAAATGTAATAATAAAAGCAGTATTTTTATTTTGAAAAATCAGATGAATTATTTTTTCCTCATGGGGAGATCCCAATGGAGGGTGTATAAGGTCCTTTTCATTGTAGAAAAGTAAGTTTTTTTTCATCGTTTTAACCAACAAAGAGGTTGATTTGTTTCCAAATAGTTTACCAGTATGTCAATCAAGATTTTGACTGGAATATGTCACCTTAATGGATGATGTAATCACCTTACAGTACAATATATAGAATATTTGCTTTATGTTTTGCTGTAGAGGAAAACATAGTACATTTGTACAATGTCGAAGTTATGAACAAATCGCAAAGCACAGGTCGAGCGATTAGTTAGCTACAATGTGATAATTACGGTATGCAAATATTCACAATTCACAGACACCATATTTTCTAATTTATCGCAGCATTCATAGACTTGCGATGGGCAGAGTGAATGTACGTTAATTATCTCATAAAGAAATAAAGTGCGGTGGAATAGGTCCGCTGTGTGAGTTATCACTGCCATGTTAAAACTCCATTCGATTTTGATATATGCGGGGGTCCCAAATCACTCTCCAATTAGTTTCAACCCCAACTTAACTCGGTTAGTTTCATCACTGCCAAAATAGAATTTGAGTTAGTATCCTTTAGCGAAGCCATTATTTTTCTGATTTTGGGAAATATTTAAGCATTTCTTCGAAGTTGTTGACAATCGGACCTTTTTGGCACGGCGAAATATTAAATTGGAATCTGGATTCTACTTGGTTTATAGCTAAATAATCGAAAGTACGAAACAAAGATCACCATCTTGGGTGATGCTGTGGTCTAAGAAGAGGGTAAGCCCCAGAGCTAGCGATGACAGACATAATTACGTTTCTTGCTTACCACCTTCATTTGTCAGAATTTTCAACCGCTAGTTTGCAAATACAACACGTCGTTGTGATGTTCTAATCTATGTTGGCATATTCCTTACATCTTTCTTTATCTTTACGTAAAATGCATCAAGAGATGTAAAGAATAATGTACTCTATGTTGCAATATGTTTTGATATTTAAATAGAAACGTCACCAATTTTAAGGAAAATTGTTATTTTTGATTTGTTTACATTTGATTTTTCATGCACTTGGAAGTAGATTATCTTTCCAAAACTTTGAATTGGACGTTAAACAAAGAATCAATAAAAAACAGTGTGTTATGTATATATCTATTCGTGATGATAGTATTCACTGGACAAGGTAACAGCGGTTTCGTCAGACATTACTCCCAAAACTTTTCAATAGCATTGCATGCAGTACTTCCGGTTGGCCAACAACAGCATGTATTGCGTTCCGCAGTGTCAGTACACAGATCTTCGAAGAGATCAATCTCAGCAAGACTTCCTTCAGGACATCCTCTGTTATCGACATCTGGATTTCCAGCATAACATCGGCCACACTCGTTTACCTCCAGCAAGCTTACTCGACAGTCATCACTACATAACTGCTCCGCTGAAACCAAAAATATTATTACAAACTTTGAGATTTTTTTAAAAAGAGCCCACTGACGGATCCAGGGGAGGGGCCATGGAGCGCTCCGCCCCTCCCCAGTGGCGGATCCAGGAACCAACAAGTTGGGGCCCAAATTTAATTTTTGAGAAAAAAAACTCCGCGCTTGCGCGCAAAAAAATTTTGGGCCCCTAAAACCGAAAAGTGGGCCCAAATTTTGAAAAATTGAGGCCCATTTTCTTCAAAATTTGCCCTAAAATTAAAAAAATAAGGCCTTAGAAGGCCAAATAATGACCAAAAGGCCCACTTTTTGGGGCCTTAAGGCCTTTTTTGGCCTAAAATTCTTTTTGGCCCAACTTTTTTTTTTCTGGGCCAACCAATGGGCCCCCCCCCCGGATCCGCCATAGCTCCCCCTTGGGCAAAACTTGGCATTTTGGGCCTTTTTGGCCTAATCATCTCAAATGGCCTTTTATTTTCAAAATGTTGGCCTGATTTTTGCTTTTAGGGGCACACAAGCGCGGACATTTTAGGGTTGACTTAAAATGTTCCAACACCCCGACTTCTGGATCTGCCAGTGGAGGCTTATATTGAATTTTGCTGCACGCCGTGAAGCTCATTATGTGTGGAACCATAACAAAGCAAAGGTGTGTTCTAACTTCATTCTTGTGACATAAAGGTCATAAATTATGCATCGAATTACATAACCATTGCGCCGCTTTGTTTTTATCTCTAGTCGGAGCTGTTGGTCATACCAAAGTGCATATTAAGCGTTAAATGAACAAAAGTATGCGTAAAATCCATTATACAAACACATTTAAGTTAGGGGCAAAGAACGAGCATGTGAACCACTCAAGATTATAAATCAACATTTCAAACTAAATAACATTGTAATGTCATCGATAAGTGTAAGTTACAGTATTTGGTATCATAATTATTGGCCATGGCTTCCCAAAATCAAGAGAAATGTGGAACAAAGTATAGCTATAGGGATAAGCAGTACGATGTAGATTTTCTAAATCAACGAATCATTTGTATATGACTTTTATTGCTTGAAACCCACAATTTTGAACATTTCCATAGTTAAATACTTTATTTTGAGATCAATTAATGTGGCGTGTTTTTGATACTGAATTTTAAAATAAATGGCCAAAAAATCGAAAATCTCCTCGACAATATAAATGAAGTGCCATGCTGCAATCTATCTTTAATTTTTAATGGAGACTACATGCATTCAACTATTTGAAAGTTCTATAGATTTTTTAATTCTTCGAAAAAACTAAATACTTTCGTTCTGCTCAATGTCTTTAAAAATCTAAGCGATAACAGTGACGTTTGAGTTAAAATTTTGCCCAAGTGTTTGTCTAAAAACAAAAGGATGTAATCCTAGTTTTCAATTACGAAAATGTTTTATAACTGTTAGATCAAGCACACTAAATGAATATTATACGTCTTACTTGCAATAGCAACCGCCACGACAGATATAAGCAACAGCAATTTCATATTCAACTCAAAGAAGGCCTCCTCAACGGAATAGTGAACGAGAAAGATCAGATTTTTTAATTTTAACAATTTAGGAGTTCCACCTGTGAATTTGCCAGTTGTTTGTAACGGAAAGTGAACTTTTTAACTTTGATAAAAGTTGATAAGAATCGAGACAGACATTTACAATGAACTTGTAGCACTTTTGCACTTAGTACAAAGCATGTCCAGTTAAAGTGGCAACAAATATTCCAAAGTGTAAAGTGCGGAAGCAATATTTTCAAAATCATATTTTTGTCTGAAAAGGAATTGAGTTGTCTGAAAGAATTTTAAAGTTACAGGGGCGTAGCTCGTGGCTATAGCTAGCAAATGTCCCCAAAATGCGGAGGAATTCACCCCTGGGAATTTTTAAAAATCCAATTGTATATGCTGCATCCTAAGCATTTCAAACTATAATTTGTTAATGTTATTTTCAAAGAATTTCACAAAATTGATTTTTTATTTTGTGGGGGTGGTCACGGTTGCACCCACCGCGATTACGCCTTTGAGCTATTTATTGTAGACGGTAAGAGTTATAGCCAAATAAAGATTTAAACTAAATACAGGGTGTTCCAAAAGTAACAGGACTAGTGCTGGCAATTTGTTAAATATGCACCAATCGTCTTCAAAATTTTACATAATGTACTTTCATGTATCGTGACTAAGACTGCAAAGTTTCGACAAAATATATGAAACTCGGGTAGAGTTATGGTTGTTATAGTAACATGACATCGCAATACCCGGGGTAACATTCCAAGCAAAAGGTTACAGAGACATTAAGCATTTTGTACATCCCATATAATTTTGTAAATGCCATATCAAAGTTGAAATGCAACAGCTGGTGGGAATTACATTTGTTTTACATCATTTGATATTCCTATCTATCCTCTACTTTGAAAAATAGGCTCCTCTTTGGTCAGTCCAAGAGTTGTACTCTGTATCCATGACCCAAACACATGAGTAAACCCATTTGAGGACATGTCACAATTGGACAATTTGGAGAAGGTCATTCTCATCTTTAAAGAACTTACAGCACTGATTAGCATTCTGTTCTCAATATAAGTAAAAATAAAAATTAGATATTGCATGATCAGAAGAGTATGGTGCATGGTTTTAGATCTCAAGACCTAGCTCCTCTTTAACTGCATGGTCTTTAATGGTGACCTGCAGGCAGGCGCGCTATCAAGGTGGATGGCTGGCTTCAAATTGGGTCTTTTCAAAAAATCAACCGTGAATTGTTCAGACTGTTATACATATGGATATTCCAGGAAATTGAATAAATATTATTATTATTATTATGAAATTATGCTTGAATCTGAGTTGTATAGCAACATCTTTGCAACAAAGCAACTAATAAATAAACATGAAATGTTGTATCATAAAAGGTGAATTGGATACTTTCTTCATGTTAGATATCACATTTTCAGGCAAAAAAGTTGCCCGGGTATTGGAATGTCATGTTACTATAGTAACCATAACTCTAACCGCATTTCATAATTTTTTCTAAAACTTTACAATTTAAGTTGCAATACTTCAAAGTACAATTTGTGAAAATTTCAAGACACTTAGTGCAAAATTGACAAAATGCCAGCACCAGTCCTGTTACTTTTGGAACACCCTGTAGTGACAACTTTCAAAAAATCACTTTCATTCTCATCCCTGATCTTTGTTGGACCTTTGACTTCAATTTCCTATAGACGGATGTAGGTTAAAATACATTTTGACAGATTTAAAACTAGTTTGCTTTTGGGCTAATGGGCTAGATATATGAACTGCTAAAAATATATATGGACTACTGTATCTTTTATAAAACTAAACAGGGATCTAGTTTTGCTTCAAGACGTGTACCCCCCCCCCCCACACACACACACACTTATGCACTTTATCAACGCAGTATTGTAACCACTGCCTAGTTACCAGTGCTGCCATCTGGGATCACCGGAAGTGGAAATTATAAATTAATTAATAATGTGGGGACTATTTAAAGTGCCCGATAAACTATAAAATGCGCATGCGTCCAGGTGTTGATAAACTATAAATAGCGAAAATCCAGGGTTTGTCACCACAAGGTAAGCCAGGACGTGTTGAGAGAACAGCTAGTGTTGATATTGAATTTATATGTAGCCAGATAAGTTTCCTTATTGAAATTACATATGGTTATTAGCAATACTTTGTAGGTGCTAAATAATAAAATATTTAGAGTATATATGAGAGAAATTGGTCATTTCGAACCTGTTGAAAAGTTTGTGGCTCTCCGCTACACCGGGGAATTTACTTCCATGAGTACACACATAAATGTGGGGTTCCCCAAGAGGTACGCGACAAGGTGACTTGGCATCAAATGTGCGACTAAATGCTACTATCGAGAAGATAAGATAACGAATACGACAATAAGTTATTGCATGTGACAATTCCGAGCCTTCATTTCACTGAAGTATTTTGAAGTGAAAATAGGATTTTTGTTTTGATACATGGATTCAGATGAACGTAACTTTATTCTGACAACTAATCAAAACTGAACAAAATTGATTGTGCGTAACAGACAATTTATTGTTTTACAATGTTTTAATTGGCTAAACGAATGAAACCAACAAATTATGACATGTAAAATGACTATTTTGAAATGTAAAATTTAAAAGTGACAAACACAACCTCCATATCCACTCCTTGGGAGCCCTAGTAAATTAGTAATATGTACATGCAGCAGTGGTAGTGTACAGCTTATTATCACACTACGCTTTGTATTCTAAAGCCTGTTGTTTGTAATAACACTGTTCACTCAACGTATGTTTTGTGTGTGGGCAGTCAACGATAATCATTGTTTTATCCCGGTTATACAATAATATAACATGTATGACCTCGGCAATTATAACAGAACCGTACTAAACGAAAAAACGCAAATAAGAGAAAGCTTTCACACACATATAAAAAATGAACTAGTCTAATCCGCCAGTATAAACTCTGTGCTATACGTAGCCGGTTCAGGCGCACACTTTAAGAGATCAAAACACCAGACTTGCATTGAGTAATGATTCTGATTTCGAATTTTTCTGGTTATCGGAAAAGAATAGGTTATTGAAAGTTTGAACTGACTGGAGAGGTCACCAATGACAACTGTAATTGGCGGGGGTCACAATGGCTTGTAACTAGACTATAGGGATCCGTTGGGTAGTTGATTAATCCTCACTTTATTAGCCAAGTACAACGGACAGGCATTCCCCCTTAAAATATCTAGTGACTTGATATTGTGACTTCTTATACTGCCTGTATGAATATGGTCCGTAAAATCATTCAAAACAAAAATGAAAGGAATACTTTATAAAGTTGAAGGCATTTATCTACTTACATCTACTTGTACAAACAGTTTAAAATTTGTATTAATCTTGGTGGCGAATTACAACAAACGAAATTCTATTTCAATTTTTATTACCTTACACATACCATACATGATCATATTCACGCATGTTCAAATAATAACAGTTCATCTCCATGTACAGAGGATTTCGAAACAGTATAGTTTACAAATAGGCTAGGCAAATGGAAGTTTAACATCCCAAAAATTGCAACAGTTTTTAAATTAGGCTTATATTGTATATTGATACCAGTTGAAAAACATATCAAAAATATAGAAAAATATATGCAGTGGACAAATATGAAATGTCACATTCCAGGTACCCCCCTCCAAATTTGGGTATGGGATTGTAAATATTTTTTTATTTCAAAATGGAATACTCTTGTCAACTAAACGAGTAATATTATGATAGTTTACTGACATAAGAGCAACTAAAAATTGTTAACCAACTATTTGAGTGCAATAATTGGCATTTCTAGCGCCAAATATCTGAAAATAGGCCATCAAATAGCCCGAATTTAATATAACAATGTATTTATTTCTGTATCAATTCATCAGAATTGCATGAAAAATATCAAGGAGGGTATTGTACACCTGAACATTGTCTTTGATAAGTATCAGGGTCATTAAGTGAATATTGAGCGTGAAAATAATATTTGAAATTTCAATATTTTACCACACCCACTTTTGGGGTGACCTTACTTTTGTTTAATTACTTCCAAGATATGTCATATTTGAACTCAATAGCACAACTAAATTATTTGTAAAGGCTTATTTCGTCCTGAAAACAGTTTTTAGAGGTTTTCAGGAAAGGATTATGTAAAAAAAAGTAGAAAAACAGCAAATGCCAGCTGAAATATAGGGGAAGCCCTACTTTTAGTTGATAACTGTTAAATTATCAAATGTTTTTTCCTTTTAAATTCAATTTGATATATAATATACTTTTTCTGGTAAAACAGAGAACGATTTGTTACAATCAGTGGTCAAAAAATGTCCTTGAAAAGGCAACAAAATGTTACATATCCCTGTCCCTGACATCAGTTTATTAATATGAGCCAAAAAAGGTAACCCAACCAAATGTTTGTTAATAACCCAGTCATTCAGCATGGGTTTGACATCGTACTTGGCACAATTACCTTGTTCAATGTTCTTTCATTCTACTAAGTGTCATTGATCTATCCTTAATAGTCACGATTTTATGGCCATTTACAAAATGTGCTCAAAATATCGAAATGTGCCTAACTGACTGGACATCAATACCACCAGTTTTTTTTTTTATCTGTGGACCTTTTTTCGATACTAACAACACTTGAAACATTAAAACAAGAGATAAGAATGAAGATGAGAGTCATAACACATGATTTTTATGCTCCTGATTTGAACAACAACGCACGATATGTTCAAGTTGGCCTCCAGGCATGACACCCATATTTCATGGCATGGTATAAAATGGCCATAAAATCGTGACCACTAGAGACCACTGAGACTGGGTAGATTGATAATACATTGACCAAGACTCAATTCTGCCAAATATGACACTAAATCCATGCAGGATGATTGGACTGGATTATTAAGATTTGTTTGGATTACCTTTTTGGCTCGCCCTGTATTAAGGAATTTTTTTTACTTTTGACTAAGGTGTTCTTAACCACACAGTGATATTGAG